ATAGAGGAGGGAAAATATCAAGGCAGATAACTCCCCCTTGGGCATGTACTGCATTTGGTTCACAGCTCCAAGTTTGGGGCTCTAACCCCTTGGCTCTCCCATCAAACATGTTTCACACATGAAGAAACTTCAGAAAGAAGCCTGTTCCAAAGTGTCCCATGATTTAATACTTCATTAGAAATGGCATTTCAATACACCGCATGCCTGTGCTCTGGTAACTAGCCAAGACTCAGGCAACAAAGACAATATTTAAGGCTTTATTGATGAATAGGTTTTATTTTTAGCTTAAAAGTTGGACCAAATGAAAATCCACATGGAGGAAATTAGAATCTGCCAGAAACAATCACACTGGCTGGGGCTTGGGAATGGGGACAGGAAACACCCATTAGTGCTAATGGGAGTCATAGGCCTGCCTCTGAGTGGCAGGAATCTCCTCAGAAACCTTGTACTGATTCAGAAAGAGCTCTGGCATAGCATTGAAGCTAAATCTATATTTTTTTTAAAATCCCACAGGCTCAGGATCACAGGATTGAGAGGAGTCAGGAATCTTCATGATCATCTACATTTCATTTGACAGATACTGAAACTGAGGCCTGCTTGGCAGATGAGACTTGTCCAAGATCTTACAAATGTTACCTACTAGAACGAGGCTTGGAACCTAAATCTCCAGATGCCAAACTCACCATTCTTGCCTGCTTTCTCTTCATCTCCCTAACTGCAGTTGACTGAACTTGAGTCTCGTGAACAGCATTTTGGTAGATCTCTGTATAGGGTCTGGTTGGGAGTGAGTGACCATTTAGTTCATTGAAGATGATTTGAGATTTCTTGATCATGTCTACTTTCCACTCTGTATAGCTACCTCTATTTTGCTTCAAAAAGAAAATGTACCCTAAGCGAGAAGAATTCTGCTAATCAGCACCGGCCATATGAGTCGACCAACTGAATGACCATATGTGGTCTTTAGAGAGCTAAGTAGGGCCAGCCCAAGAAAGCCTGAAAGGACACATTTCAAGGGTCATCAGGGAAGTGTTCCCAAAGGAGGTGATTTTTAGCTATGTCTTACAGAAGGTGATCTGGGGAAGGGACTGAAGAGGCGGTTTGGTTGAATGTGTAGCACCCTTTGGAGGGAACAGGATTATAAGCAAGGCTAAGCTATGGGGATTGGAGAGATGATATTTTTGTTACTTTATGCGGCTTTTATCTGTGATTTCCTTGGTATAGGGAATTCTCTACAGGGATACTCCCTTTATGAATGCAGATTAGCAACTTTTTTTGCAATTTATGGTCTCAGTTGCTTGAGCCATTGAAAAATGACATGACTTTCCAAAGGTCACACAGCCAAAATTTGGAAGAAGTGATACTTGGATTCAAGTCTTTTTGACTCCAGGGTCAGCTTTCTATCCACAATTGTCATGCTGCCTTTTAATGGATTTAAGCCAGCAAAACTACCCTTAACTCTAAATGAGCAACCTTACTCACCAAACACCTCCTCCATATTGTCTTCCTTGATATCCCAGAAGTGATCTACCCTTTCTCTGAAATGGAATAATACTTCATAGCTCTCTGTGAGTTTTAATACTATGTATTATAGATATCTGTGTGTGCGCCTCCGCTCTACTCACCCCCGTCAGACTGTGAGTTCCTTAAGAACTGATGCTCCAAACATAGTTGTGATAGCTCAGCTAAGGCACTGGAATTGATATTCAACAGGGTTCTTCTCAGCTTTGAGTTCTTCTCTCATGTATTGTCCACATCACAAGTCTACTTTGATGAAGGAACATGGTAGAACATTCAAATCATGCATCTCCTGCTTTCTATTTGTGTAACATTGGGCATGTGATTTAACCTTTGTGGCCCTTGATTTCTTTGCCTGTAAGGTGAAGGGATTGAAATGGATTGCCTCTGAGGTCCTTTCCAGATTTAGATCTAAGATCCTATGAAGTATGTTTTCTAAAAGCAGCAGCTCTTGCTATTTTCAGCACCTAGGACAGTGCCTTCATAGGGAAGGGGGTTAATAAAAGTTTGTTTGATGGAATCCAGTTGACCTCATCCATCTTTTGATCTCTTTCACCATTTTCAGGATACTATTCACATGGAAGGAGCAATGTTTGTTCTGTTTAATTGAATTGAATGAGTACTTTCAGAAGGAAGGAGCACCTTTGTTGTGGTGGTCGTGGAATCTGCTGCCCCCAGAGGCTATTTCACACAAGTCCCAGTGATTCTCCTTCTAGACATGCAATTTAGCCAGGTCTCTTCCCCTCACTTGGCTTCAATTTCCCAGCTGTGAAATGGGGATAATAATGCTTTTGCTGACTCCTTCATAGTATGATTGTAATGAAAGGATTTCTGTGACTTGTCTATGAACATTTTTCTCCATTAGAATATAAACTCCTTAAGAACAAGGAATGAGCCACCCTTGTGAGTGCTTGGCATAAGTAGGTGATTAAAAAATTCTTGTTGACTGACTGATCCCTGGAGTTTGGAACTTTTGTTGTCATAGTAACATAATATGTCAATACTCTAGTAAGTCAATGATATGTGATTCCATAGCTGTTGACATTCTTTCTATTTATATAGAATAAAACCCACCCATATCTGTACTATCATGTTCATATTTTGCCCCAGGACTTCTCTAAATTTCATCATGGGAGACTCCTTGATTGATAGGGGCCTTCCTAGTATTCCCTTGATGTGAATTGATCTGAATGGAAGAATGGGCTTCATGAGCTCCTTATGATTCCTTGATACATTGACTGGTACATCTTGAACTGTCATAGCTTTCATTGATTGCATCTGATTCTTCATTTGATTAATTCTTAATGTGATTGCTTTAATTCTTCCATGATTTGTCATTCATCATGTGTTCCAGCTGTCTCCCATTCACCATGCACCTTTCCACTGCCCATGGAATGATTCTCAACTTCATTGTCTTTGACACTATGGTATTTCATGCCTCATAATTATATAACACCATCAGAAAAAGACTGGTACTGAAAAAGAAGGACCTTCTTTCAGGAAGAAATACAGAAATAGAACAATGTACACTTTAGCTGCATGACCACTGGTTGGAAAGGTTACTGGAGAAATTAGTGTATAGTCATGTGCTAAGCCACACCAAGCATGAGGTAAGGAAGTCACTGTGTATTAAAACAGCATTGCCTTCCTTATCTTGGGGATAACTGACCAACTCTACTTTTTACTGCCAAACAACTGCCTTAGTTTTTTTTTTCTTTCCATCCTCCACCCAGACTATTTCCTCCACAAAACAATGGTTTTCAGTTGTGTTCATTTCCATCTCACATGGCTCACATCAGTATTCCTCCTATCCACCATTAGAGAGAAGGGTTATGTACCACTGACACCAAAACCAGGTCTCTGGCAAATCTCTACTGGTTAGACATTAGGTTTGGCATGTTCCATCTCTTTTGGTCTTGCAAAAAACAAAAGATCTTTCCTAATAGCATAAATAGGAAGTGCTACAGTGTGATGATTAAATCAAGTGATACAATGATCTGCTAGTCCAATTTTCTGCTAGTCACTGACCCAGAAGTCTCACAGACTCTGATCTTCACCCTCTAAGCTTTACAACCTTCTCCAGAGTAGGTGAGGAGCAAGAAGAGATTATGAATGAGGACATTCTTCATTCCTGACATCGTCAGGGATAAGGGTACCACCTTGAACATATGAGAGCTTAATGCATGATTGTCAAATAGTATTGGTTTGAACTCTAATCCCCTATAGAATGGGAAGGATATGGATTTGAGGATCCTATTAGGGAACACAACAAGAAGTTTCATGGTACATGTGCTATAGCCAAAAGCAACACTATAAAATCAGAGATAGTGTCTACTACTTCCAGGTGCAAAAAATTATCAAGCAACCATGGAAAGATGCATGGCAGATGAAGTTTGAACAGCCACCGAGAAGAGTGTGTGGCCAAAGTGACACAGACCACAGAAGCTGGTCAGCAGTGTCAAAACCAGAATCTATATCCTGAACCCTTTTGTGAGTTACTGTCCTGTATTTGATGCCTCTTCCATTTTAGGTTTCTGTTTTTCTGACCTCTGGATCCAATGTTTTCTGACTTGCTGATTTTTCTGATTTTCACTGTAATTAACTTCCCTTCTGCTGCATCTTATGGGCATTGGCTCTGACCTCTTTAGATTCTCACTTCCCACAAGGGATACCTCCACCCTCCCTATCTCTGTGTTCTCTCCAGGATGATACTCCTAGAATGTTAAGATCCCCTGGAAGATGTTTATCTTGCTTGAATCATCCCATATCAAGTTGACAGTAGCTGCCCTTCTCATTCTCAATATTCAGCCAAATAAGAACATTTATTTCCTCCAACCAATTGATCAGCGTTCATTAAGATGCAGCTTCAGTTCCAGTTGTGCATTCTAATAGACAAAAATGCTTTAATAATGAATAGATCATAAAATGTCAGAGGAAAGAAACGAGGCATCATTTAGTTGCATTCCCTTATTTGTGAGAAGAGGATGCCCAGGCCTAAAGAAGTAAAATACCTGGCCAAAACCACCCCTAGTGGCCAAGGGACCAACCTAGTCTTAGCCTATAGCCACATTGTATGTTTATAGCCACATATCCAATAATTCCCAACATTCCTGAGAGGAGATCAACAACTGTTCATCTTCCAGACCCTTTTGTTTCCCAAAGCTCCTAGCGGTGGCATGGTAATGCTTTTGACCAACAATCCAGAGGCCCCTGGATGCTGATATGACAGCAAGAAAAGATTTTAGGAAGCAAGTAAGCTGCTCCAGTGAAGGAATGAAGCCCCCATCACTGGAGGTCTTCAGACAGATGATGAGTAGTCCAAAGTGACATAGTTTTTAAGCTATATTTTCATGCGTGAGATGGAGGAGGGTAGATTATGTCACTCTTCAGGTCTCTGAATCTGAGATTCTCCTATGTTAATTCATGTTGCATTAATTGATCAATTGAAAATGTACATAAAGACTGACTTTGGTTTGTTAATACAGAACATCTGCAAAATGGGATCATGAATAGCACCTAACTTCCAGGGCTGTAATGAGGATCCAATGGGATAACATATGTAAGTACTATGCAAACTTTAGAGCACTTAATAATGCTGACTTCTTTTTAAATTTTTATTTCTTTTTCACATTCATTAAAAAAAAATTTGAGTTCCAAATCCTCCTTCCCATGTCTTCCCCACCCATTGATAAAGCAATGTTATATCATCATTCATGTGAAGTCATGCAAAATATATTTTCATATTACCCATGTTGCAAAAGAAAATGCACAAAAACCACAAAAAAAATAAAATGAAAAAAGATATTTCAATTTGCACTCAGAGGTAATCAATTCTCTCTATGGAAGCAGATAGCATTTTTCATCAAAGGTTCGTTGGAATCATCTGGGATCATTGTCTTCATCAGACTATCTAAGTCTTTCACAGTTGATCACTGTTACAATATTACTATTATTATAATATACAATGTTCCCCTGGTTATGCCACTTCACTTGGCATCAGTTCACATAAATCTTTGCTGTTTTTCCTGAAACCATCCTGTTCATCATTTCTTTGAGCACAATAGTATTCCATCATAATAATATACCACCACTTGTTCAACCATCCCTCAGTTGATGAACATCTCTTCAATTTCCAATTCTTTGCCACTACAAATAAAAAAAAAAGAGCTGCTATAAGTATTTTTGTACATATAGGTCCTTTTCCCTTTTCTTGGATCTCTTTGGGACACACACCTAGCAGTGATATCACTGGATCAAAGAGTATACACAGTTTTATAGCCCTTTGGGCATAGTTCCAAACTGTTCTCCAGAATGATTGGACCAGTTTACAACTTGACCAACAGTACACTAGCATTCCAATTTCAACATGTCCTCTCCAGCATTAATCATTTGCCTTTTCTATCATATTAGCCTATCTGATAGGTGTGAGGTGGTACCTCAAGGTTGTTGTAATTTCCATTTCTCTATTAAGTAGTAATTTTAAAAATTCATATGACTATTGATAGCTTTGATCTATTTTTCTGATAACTGGCTGTTTATATCCTCTGACCATTTATCATTTGGGTAATGAGTCTTATTTACATAAATTTGGCTCAATTCCCTATATATTTGAGAAATTAGACCTTTATCAAAGAAATTTGCCATAACTTTTCACTGCAGTTTCCTGCTTTTTTATATAATTTTGGCTGTGTTGTTTTTGTTTGTGCAAACCTTTTTAATATCATATAATCAAAATTATCCATTTTACTTCCTGGGACCTTCTCCATGTCTTGTTTTGTCATAAACTCTTCCTTTATCCATAGATATGATGTGTAAAATTTCCATGTTCCCCTAATTTACTTATGCTATTATCCTTTATCCCTAAATTATTTACCCATTTTGAACTTATTTTGGTATATGGTGTGAGGTGTTGGTCTATGCCTAGTGTCTGCCAAATTGTTTCCAATTTTCTCAGAAATTTTTGTCAAATGGTGAACTCTTGACCTTAAAGCTTAAATCTTTGGGTTTATCAAATACTAAATTACTATGGTCATTTACTGCCATGTGTTGTATACCTAATCTATTCCACTGATCCACCACTCTATTTCTTTGTTGTTGTTCAGTCATTTTTCAGTTGTATTTAATTCTTTTTTACTCCATTTAAGCTTTTCTTAGCAAAGATACTGGATTATCTTTGGTTTGGCATTCTTCCTCTAGCTCATTTTACAGATGAGGAAATGAGGCAAACAGGGTGACTTGCCAGGATCACACATCTAGTAAATGTCTGAGGCTGGATTTAACTCAGAAGATTAGTCTTGCTGATTCCAGGCCTGGAAATCTATCTGCTGTTCTATCTGCAAGCTGCTCTCACTTTATTTCTTAGGCAGTATCAAATTGTTTTCATGATTACCATTTTGTAATATAGTTTGAAATCTGGTACCCTGAGGCTGCCTTCCTTGATATTCTTGACTTTTTGGTCTTCCACATGAATTTTGTTATTATTTATTCTAGTTCTGTAAAATGATTATTTGTTAGCTTTGGTAGATTGATATGGTATAAGAATTGTCATTGTTAATATATTGGCTCAGCCTACCAATAAGAAATTAATATTTCTCCAATTGTTTAGAGCTGTCTTTGTTTGAAAATAGTTTTGTAATTGTGTTCATACAGTATCTGTGTTTGTCTTGGAAGGTAAATTCCCAAGTGTTTTATAATGTCTGCAAATTATTTTAACTGAATTTTCCCTTTCTGTCTCTCCCTGCTAGGTTTTGTTGGCAAACTATAGAAAAACTAATAATTTATTTGAGTTTATTTTATGTCCTGCAGCTTGACTAAAGTTGCTAATTGTTTCAACTAGACTTTTTAGTTACTTCTCTAGAGTTCTCTAAATATACCATCACATCATCTTAAAAGGGTGATAGTTTTGTTTCCTCATTACCTATTTCTGTTCCTTCAATTTCTTTTTTTTTTGGTGGGGTCTTATAGCTAGCATTTCTAATACAACATTAAATAATAGTGATGATAATGGTCATCCTTGCTTCACCCCTAATCTTCTTGGGCAGGCTTCTAGTTTATCCCCATTACAGATAATAATTGTCCTCGATTTTGGATAGATACTACTTATCATTGTAAAAAAAATCTCAATTTCGTCCTATGCTTTCTACAGTTTTTAATAGGAACGGGTGTTACATTTTATCAATATTTTTTCTGCATTTTTTTTTGCTGTTGTTTTTATTGATATAATAAATTATGCTTTTAGTTTTCCTAATATTAAAGCCATTCTGCACTCCTGGTATAAATCTCACCTAATCGTAGTGTATAATCTTTGTGATATATTGCTATCATCTTTTTTTATTTTATTTTAATTTAAATTTTTTGCATTGATATTCATCAAGGAGATTGGCCTGCAGTTTTCTTTCTCTGTTTTTGCTTTTCCTGGTTTAGGTACCAAAACCATATTTGTTTCATAAAAGGAATTTGGTAGACTTCTTTTCTTATTTTTTCAAAAATAGTTTATATAGTATTGGGATTAATTGTTCCTTAAATGTTTCATGGAATTCAGTTGTAAATCCATCTGGTTTTTTTCTTAAGGAGTTCATTTGTGGCTTGTTAAATTTCTGTTTCTCAGATAGGGTTATTTAAGCATTCTCTTTACTCTTCAGGTAATCTGGAAATTTTCTATTTTTGCAAATATTCATCTATTTCATTTAGATTGTCAGTTTTACTAACATATAATTGAGCAAAATAGCTCCTAATAATTGCTTTAATTTCATCATCTTTGGTGATGCGTTCATACTTTTCATTTTTGATACTAGTAATTTGGTTTTCTTCTTTTTTTAAAAAAATCAAATTAACCAATGGTTTATCTATTTATCTATTATTTAAAAAAACAACAAAAGCAATTCATTATTAGGCTCTTTCTCTCTTTTGTTGTGTACCCATTTAGAGATATAAAATTTCCCCTAAGTACTGCTTTGGCTACATCCCACAAATTTTGATATGTTGTCTCATTGTAGTCATTATCTTTAATGAAATTATTGAATAGTCTTACAATTTGTTCTTTGACCCACTTCTTTATGATTAGGTTACTTAGTTACTTAGTTTCTGAATAATTTTTAATCTATGCTTCCCATGTCCTTTATTGAATATAATTTTATTGCATCATGGTCTGAAAAGAGTGCATTTAATAATTCTGCTTTTCTGTATTTATTTGTGAGGTTTTAAGTCCTAATATAAGATTAATGTTTATGAAGGTGTCATGTAAATGTGAGAAAAAGATACACTCATTTCTATTCCCATTCAATTTTCTCCAGAGATCTATCATATCTATTTTTTTTAATGTTCTATTTATCTCCTTAACTTTTTTTTTTAATTTATTTTAGATTTAGATTTTTCTAGCTTTGAGAGGGGAATGTTGAAGTCTTTTCCTAATATAGTTTTACTGTCTATTTCCTCCAGTAACTCATTTAAATTACTTTTAAAAGAATCTGGATTCTATGCCATCTAGAGCTTACATGTTTAGTATTGTTATTACTTCATTATTTGTAGTATCTTTTAGCAAACATAGTTTCCCTGATTTATTTCTTTCAATTAGGTCTACTTTTGCTTTTGCTTTGTTCAAGATCATTATTGCTACTTTTGAATTTTTCTTTTACCTTCGCTGAAGCATAATCGATTCTACTCCAGCCCTGTGTGTCTTTCTTTACCTTTGTGTGTGTGTTTCTGTTTTGTGTTTCTCTTGTAAACAACATATTGTTGGATTCTTATTTCTTTTCCCTTCTGCTATCCACTTTTGTATTATGGGGAAGTTCATCCCATTCACATTCAGTTTTGATTACTATGTATTTCTCTCCATCCTATTTTCTTTTGTTTATCTTTTTTTCTCTTATTACTCTGTCCCTCCTCAAAGCCTGTGTTGCTTCTGACCACTGCCTCTTTTAATCTACTCTCTTTTGTCACCTCTTCCTCTCTCTTAACCTTTACCCCTCCTACTTCCCTGTTGGGTAAGATAGATTTTCTATACCCAACTCAGTGTGTGTATGTATACAGATAGTCATGTGGATATATACCTGTATATCTATGTAGATATACACATATGTAAGTATATGTGTATATGCATACATATATTTATCTTTTCTTCACTCTTTGAATCAATTCAGATGAGAGTGAGGTTCAAGTGTTGACTTCCCCTGCCATTTCCCCTTCCATTATAAGAGCTCTTCCTTGGACATCTCTTTAATGTGAGATAATTTTTTTTCCAATTTTCCTTTACCTTCTCCCTTCTCTCACTGTGTCCCTCTTCCTTACCCATCCATTTTTTTTAGATTATCCCGACATAATCAACTCACACTCATGCCCTTTGTCTATGTGAAGTCCTTCTAACTGCACTAACAATGATAAAGTTCTTAGGATTTACATATATCTTCTTCCCACATAGGAACATACACAATTTAACCTTACAGTCCTTTATTATTTCTCTTTTGTATTTAGCTATTTATGCTTCTCTTGAGTCTTGTATTTAAAAGTCAAATATTCTATTCATCCTTGGTCTTTGCATCAGGAATGCTTAAAAGTCATTTG